AAACCTCTGCGTATGCACATACAGCCAAAAGTTTCTTATTTCAAATTATAATATCTGAACTGATATATCATAATTTTGAGTTTAGTCCAGCTGTTCCCAACCTTCTCCTTTTAATACTACATTGTTACCAAAAGCTTTTGTGAACCACTATGATGAGCAAAACAGTGTCTTCAAGCCCCAAGCTGCATGTAGAATTCCCAAATTAAATTTAAACAATACTGTTAAAAAGTAATATGACCCAAACCTTGCAGGATCACCACATTTTCTATGGATCTGTTATTCTCATCTGAATTTATCAATTTTTCAACTGCAAAACTACTATATTACAAATAAGAATGCCAGACATCCGGGGAAGAAATGGTGAACTGAAGATGGCTCCACGGAAAGCGCACCCAGTGACTAGGGTGGAATGAAGGGCCAGCAAGTAGACTGGCTCTTTGTAATTCCTCTCTGGACAAGGAGAGGACTTGAGATCTCCCACAAGTGCTCCAGACAGCTGCTCCCCATGAGGAGGCTGCAAGACAGCAGTCTCTGGCAGGTTTAGAGGTCTGGGAGCCAAGGGGATAGCCATCTTGTTCAAATCACTGTCAGAGTCTTTCAAAGGACACTTGGGTTCACATACTTCCTTGTCTGAGCATAACGTTTCTTCCCCCACCCCCGACCCCCCCAAAAAACAACAGGGAAGGTCCACTCATACTGCATACCTGAAAACAAACAGAAGATAGTTTGAAAAGTTTGCCTGGCCACATTTTTAAATGCCTGCCAAAATGACTAATTCTGTATCATTGGTGCAGAGGAAATGGAACAAAATAAAAGAGGAACAGGATGGACTTACAGAGGAAAGAAAGGAAACAGGGATGTTTTATGTAGCCTGAGGTTGCAGCTTCTGGATGCCTGCATTGATTAATTACATTTACTGCTTCTTTCCAGTTCAGGGACTGGTGGGTTAGAAGTTCTAATAATAATATCCTATCAGAGTAGTATGAATTGCCAAGCCATTTCACAACTTTTAGGCTAGCTTATAGCAGCACTTGATTGTATTCAACGTTGGTCATATACTGCATAAGTTCTGACCAACTGTTTGGCAGATTTTATTCCTAGGAAATGAAGAAATGTTAATTGTTCTTATTTATTTACTTATTTACTTATTTATTTATTTATTTATTTAATATTTCAAATTTGTCACCGGCCATCTCACTGCAGAGCGACTCTGGGTAGTTACAGACAGAGTTCATGCATAGGGGGTGATGTAGCCAGTCCTTGAAGTTGTTTCCTACAAATTAAATGGAGATTTTCCCAAATAAACATGTATCCAGTCATTTGGCCTAATGAACCAAACTCTCCAATTATTGGGACTAAACAGGATAACTTCAATTTGTAATGATCACTTTCACATAAGCTGTGCCTGGATTTTGTTTATAAGAATATGCTTACCTTTTCTCTCCTAATAAACAGCAGGTTGTTAGATCCCTTCCCCTTTCTGCACAAACCAGCTAGCATGTCTGTGCAGTATTTAGATGGATTTCCTTTGCCATATTATCCTAGAGAGCCACCAAGAGCAGTAACTCACATAAAAATGACTAAAACTCAAGGTAGAAAACCTACTTTTGTTAACTAACACGGGCATAATTATAGATCAGCTCATCACTGAGCCGCTAAGATAGTTTCAGCACACCAACATCTACTGAAAGCAAATAGATATGCCCTTTCAAAAAATGTGTTTACGTATATCATAGGACATTCAGACAAATCTTTTTATAATGCCTGTAATGCACAACTATATCTATTATTGGCAAGGCATTTGCCTTCTACTGACAATCTGATGATGTTCTCATCACCATCTGATGCATGTCAGCAGCATAATTCTTATAATGGGGCATTCTATGGCAGCATTGTTTTATAAGGCAGATAAAGATCTAAACCAGTCTTATTCCATTGGTTAACCCCATCCCCAATCCAGTTATCATGCATTGAAGGTAACTGCAGCCCAATGCATCTGGAACCACCCAGTTTGAGAAGATGAAAACAAACTGTAATCGTGTTAATTTATTTCAATTTAAGCTGTAGCCAGTGTAACTGCTGTCTACAAGAAACTACCCCAGAAACCACAGAGTTGATAATGCCAAGAGGGAACAGAGAGAGAGGCAGAGAGAGAAGCTGGCAATAACAATGTTTCTAAAATAATGGATTAAATATATTTTTTCAACAACTTTTACCTTCAAACCCATTTAAATTGCTAAAACTCAGTCCCCAGAGTGACACCTGCTGGATTCTATGGATAAAAAGCATAAGAGATGTGAATTTTCATTCATAGGATCTCAATGTAAGCAAAAGGCTGTTTGCTCAACAATACTCTCTCTACATTAGAAAAGTTTTCTTTGGAATTTTTAAATAAGTTATTTTTAGTTAACTGAATACAGATTCCAATGGTTATTCCCAGATCCCACTGAAATCAAAGGGATGGAAATCCCAAGGATCTTCTTTGTCAATTAATGTTCAGCTGATATAGTCTGGATCCAATCCATTATCATTCTGTGAAAGACAGATGGAACTAAAAACTTAAATATGAAGGGAAGTTTAGGTTGCTGTTGAGAACTTACTGGATGTATATGTGTACATATGTAAATTATACCTAGGCAGGGGCACAAAACTATTTTTCTAATTCCCCTGCTTCCAAAGCTGTTTACTTAGGAAAGGGGAAGGTTCACCAAAAGTAAAACTTTTTTGGGTGTATGGAACTGGATTCATAGTTCCTGGGATCTAGGCATTTATCATAAAACCCACAAGGTAAGGAAGGCTCCCTGTAACTTTCTGCCTTACATAAACTAATGGAATTTAGCAATCATAATCTATATACTTCAGCTTAACCAGGCAGTGAGGACATGACTCTGTCCTTCTCTCTAGCTCCCTGTTATACAATGGACTAAACACAGTGTTAACTATTTGCTTAACTTCTTTTTCTCCCAAGGCTGCAATAAACAAAGGATTTAATCCAGTGTAGTTCCATTAACAATAATCTGATGGCTCCAAAGAAAACTGTTCCAGGACATTTCCAGTAACTAATTTGTAGGTCAAAAATTGCTTGATTTTCAAAACTCTGTTTGGCAGTGTTAGTAGTAGAAATATCAGAAGCAGCAGCAGTAGGGCTCCTATTAGATGCATTCTCATCTTTTCATTCAAAATGTTTGCAATTATTTAATGTTTACATTTCTTTAAAATGAAATTTGTTGTGTTCTGAATTTTACAAAACCATGCTAACTTCAGTTTTGTCCTTAAAACTGAATAGTTTGAGCCTGATCTATGAGATTTATAATCCGGGTTAAAGTATTTATCTTTACATGCGAAACACATACACAACGTGGTATATTTAAGTGAAAGCAGTAAGATAATGTAGTAAATGGAATATCCCATGGCATCTTTTGCACTCTATATCCCCCTGTAACATTATTTGTGCATTAAATAATTAAATTGCCACTTTTCTTCAGAAAAATATACAGAAACAAAAGCTTTTCTCATTTCCATTTCAGCATATCCAACCAAGAAAAAAGATTTACTGAATGCATAAAAGACAGGCATGCATATCTGAATTCTTGTATTAAACATCCCAATGAAAAACAAACTTAAATAGGATACTCTAGTCCACAGGTAAAAATATTTTCACCTACATACATCTCCTTTCCCCTCTTACAATACATGCCAATAAGGTTGCTTATTATATATTAAAATCAATACATAATTTGGTAACCTGTATCAAGAAAATCAAGAGCATAAATCTGTTATGAGGGAAAAGTTCTGGTTACCATTCTTGTGGTCAATTATTTTGAATCTCTTAATATATATTTTTTATCAATCATTCACACAACTTATTCTGCATTCACATCTCTCTCTCATACACCAAGAGAAAGACAAAACAGCATAAAAATATGTGTGTCAACATACACTGGGAAAGTTTTACTCAAAAAAGAATACTACTTAGGCAGAAACATATATTATAAAACAGCAATGTCAATCTATGGGTAGAGAGCATTTCCAATTGTAAATCATCTTATTTAAAAAGCAAACCATTTCTGTAGTTTCCAAGTTCACGTCTCATACCAGGAAGAAAAAATAACTACAGTATGTTTATAAAATCAGTTATCTAAAGGGAGAACTTTCAGCAGTTCAAAATCAATAGGAAAAAACCCCACATATAAACACACTTGCAGTACCATAAAGTAGAATGTTGCCTGAACTGGGATAAGATACCGAGTGGACTAAATCCAAGATTTTTTTTCTCAAATGTATGTAATGCATGCAAATACATACAGTAGATCTAAGTCTAAAATGAATATCAATGAATGGTTGAGAACCAAGTGAGGATATCAAAAATAAGAGAAGTATAGGTGGTGTGGTGCAATAGCTAAGAGAGCAATTCACTTCTAGCATGATTTTCCTACTGTCTCTTAGAACTGTTCCCCATCAACAGTGTAATTTTGATTAAATTTACAAGCTAGCTGCAAAGATTGCAACTAGACAATGCACGTGAAGAATTTGGAGACTTGAAAGTATGGTATAAATGTCAGTTTAAAAGCCAAGCGCTATCAACTCCAATTTGTTTTTTTTTTAATTCTAACTGTTAAAACATGCCCTCTAACAACCCTATATATTCCAGGTTGAACATGAAGCTAATCAAATTAAGACCATAGATTTATAAAGTACATCCTATCAATTTCTGTTGTTAAATGCAAAAAGCAAGAGCTTTTAGTTTTCATAGAGTGATCTTTTTGAAGCGGTCAGCACATAATAGAGTGCTATATAATAATAGAGTGATATTTTTGAAGGCCACAGCACATAAATTGAGAGCAAACCCCATCCCATTTTAGCCCTGAAGATGTTACCTAGCCGGGTAATGAAATGGTTGCAAGAAAAGAACCAAGATCAGACAACCCCAAGGACCCCACAGTTGAACCCTGAGCTACACATATTCACCTCTATTGAGGCAAGGTAGCTCCCACACTTACCTCTCTCCTCAATTCCATGGCCAGCAGTCCAGGTTTTAATGTGTCATTCATATGTCATCTGAAAAAAGTAAGTAGCAATCCATGCAAATCCTGATGATGATGCAGCTGACATCAGTAGGTACTTAGACAGTTATCCTGTTGTTTTTATTGATGGTTATCTCAGGATGAATAGGGATGATTTGCATTTAAAGTGTCAGTAGATTACACTATGCATACTGCATACAGAACTGATGGTACATTTCACTGACAATTGCTGAAATCCTTCACATGGTACAGTGAGTAATAATATCATTATATCAACTGCAATATCAACTGCATATTATGACATAAATTTAAGATCTTCAGAACCAAAAAAACCCTGATCCTTCTCTGTACAAAGACAGGGATCAGTAAGTTTTCCAAAATTGCTGAGGGACTCAGAGAAACAACTACAAACTGAGTATTTTATTTATTCCAAAAGAATGGTTTTAAAATTCTAACCAGCTTAGATTCAACGTCCCTTCTAAATTTAGGCCACAAGTCAATTCACATATTCCAATTCTATTAAATATGATCAACAATAGATCTACTGTACAATTTTATTTTCATAGACTTAATCAAAGAAGCTTATTTTTTTAACCTATCTTCTAAAGTGCTCTTACTGAAAGTTCTTCCAAACAAAACAAACTGACTAAATTGAGGAATTTCAAATAATCTTGTTGAATTTCCTTATTCTGGTGGACGGACCATTATTTTTTTTTTAAAAAAAATCATCTGCTGAAAATGCACTCCTCTCAGATACTTTTGAACAAGTGAGTACAACTCACATTTGAACTCCTCTCTGCTTCTGTTCTTTGGCTTTCCTACTTGCTGTCTTTTCCATGAGATACTAAAAAAGCATCTTTGAGGCTTTCCTGTGGCATGTGAGAATTGCTCTTGTGCCTTGCTCTGCAGGCTCCCCAAAGGTTGTTCACTGTGGGAAACAGGATGTTGGGTAAGACAGGCTTTTGGTGTGATCCAACAGAGCTTGTCTTCTTGTGTTAATGAACTATGGAATGGAATGGAATGGAATGGAATGGAACGGAACAGAACAGAACAGGGCTCCTGCCTCTTTAAATGACTGGGCAGAAGACAGAATTTCAGAGGAAGAGATCTATTCTTTCTGCAATTCCCTCTTATAAACTATTACAAGTGCCCTATTGTCAGCAGAACTATATATTCACATCACTGAGGAATTTAAGCAAGAGGTGACTTACAATTTAAGCCTAATTAATTACATCATCTTGTCAGCCTTTCTCTTTTAGTCCTCATTTGTGAGCTCAATAATACTGGTTTCCCTTATAAGAGTATTGTCATTATGACTAACAGTTTCACCACATGACACTATACCACTACTAAATGTTGTTTAATTGACCAACTGCATTCTTGTTTGGAGTTATAAATCTGTGAACGTTATTTTATTCAGAGGGAGTCAATTATCCAACTTTCTTGACTTAATCCCATTCAGCATCCCTCTAATTTTGGCAATGAAAATCCATTCCATTAGATTTAATTTTGGAATTAATACATTCCAAAATATTTTATTCAATCCTTAATTATTTAGAAGACAAAAATAATAACATATGAACATATTAGAGCAGCAAATGGAAACATTGAAAAATAACTTAAGGGAACTTTTCACAAGCAGCACAATTTCCAACCATTGGAGTGGATAGGCCTTCAATTTCATATTCCAAGAAATTCAAGTCTTCAACATTTTGCAAACATTTAGGCTAGAGAATATCCCCCAAACTCCAAAGTACCTCTACTGAAAATTAAGCTTGTGCTGCTTTTTGTTTTTAATTGTTGTTCCAAATAAATATTTATTGTTGTTAAATATTTAAAAGGTGCAAATCTTAAACCACCTTTTTTCAACCTGATGCCCTCCAAAGATATTGGGACTACAAGTACCACAATTCTCAGAATTCTACACCTGACATCTCTGGAATGCACCAGGTACGGAAGGCAATCGTAAGTCATATTTGTTTAATTTCACTGTTTTATATAGTCAGTTTTTTCTTAAGGGTTTGTATTTCATATATGCAAAAGCCAATCTCTTTAAAGCACATAATTCTGTTTCTCATCCATCACCTATCTGTAAAGAATTCCTTGGAATCCCTTCCGCTAATTTCCAGATATCCAAAATAAAGCAGAGCTGTGCTCCAAGCACTTAAGAATAGTTTCAAACACACAAAATAAAAGGTAAGTGTTTTCCTGGGTCACATCCTGTACCCACAGAGATCAGGCGCTACATTCTGATTTATTGCAATGTTGGCATTTTCTTTCAGCAACCAGTAAACACTTCTTAATTCTCCTATCATCAGGTATTCATCCTTTGGGAATGTTTGCTGTGGACAGTCATCACTTATGATAACCCTTTTGCATTTTCTTCTTTGTACACTGAAAATTAAGCATGAAAACTGAGTGTCATGGTAATACAATTCACGTGTAGGCACTCCTTCCTAATGCATTGGGCAGGGGGGAAGATAAATGAATAAATAGGAAAAGAAGGCTGTTCTGGGTCAACCCATTATGTCATATGCATCCACATTTTCATAACTGGCAAGTTTTAAAACGGAAGATTCAAGAGAAAAAATAATAGTATTTATCAACCTCAGAGTCAGAGCAGACTTAAGGGTGAGACCCCCCTCCACCAACATCACAATATTAATCTTACTTAATCAAAAGCAGATTCAGTGTGAAATTTGCAATAAATTTAAATAAGTGCATTTAGGATTAAAACTATATAGCTTAGAATCCTAATGGCTTATATACACCTAAAATTATCATCTTCATCATACTCATCTGAAATCAATAGGACAGTTTTACTTCAAAGCATTAAAATAGCATTATGGGGCAAAACCAGATTAATCTGCAGGTTTCTGCTTTAAACATACTGATTCTATGCAAGAAAAAAGTACAACAGCCATAGAATGGTATTACCTTCACTGCGACCAGCCAAAAGGACACCAAAGAGTTTGCAAGCTTTTATATTCCCCACAGCTCATCCTCAGGGAAGATATTAATAACAGGAGGTAAGTAACATGCCTCAAAGGCTAAAACTTAAGTCAGGTACTTCATAATTAGTTAGTTTAAAAGCCACAGAATTAACTAAGCCCTGCTCTTCGAGGAATAGTTTTTTAAAAATGTGCACTCTTTTAGCGTCATTCGGATGGATCCAAATAAAGGCACCGACCTATACCCAGTGTTGGGTTTTGCTTTTATTCACGGACCACCAACTTGACTCTCACTGTATATCCTATGCTGGTTTACTCTCAGAAATAAATGTCCCTGCATCGAATAAAGTGTTTCTCACACGAGTATACAACGCATTCGCTTTGGAAGTAGCGCCCCCAAACCCCAAGGGGTTTACTTTTGATTTATCCAACTTCAGAGGAAGCTCTAACATTAGTGCTCTGTTTTACATTTCGCTCTCTCTCGCGCGCGCTCTCTCTCTCTCACACACACACACACAGACACACACACACACAACTTTTCCTCTCCTTTGGGACAGAGGGACGAAGGGACCGGCCGCGCTGCTGCAACTCTCACGCCGAGATGAAACCACTGAGAGGCGGGGGGGAAGGGGCGAGCTACAAAGACCGCACAGCTTGCTCATTCTCGCTCCCTTCTTCCGTCGACTTTTCTTTTTTAGAAAGAGATGCCTACTGAACTTGATCCAGAATCTGATGCAGAAGATCCTTTCCCTCACGCTTCCAAATTCTGCCGGGTTCCAGATGCCTGGAGTAAAACTCGATTCGCCCCTTCCCACGATTTCTCAGGCAACCAAAGCATGACACGCATGTGTCAAAGAAACGTAACTCCCGGCTGAAGAAGCCAGCTTTCCAACACGCACTGGAGAGCACTCGTTTATATTTGCAGGCAATTATTGAGCAGCCCTGGGAAAGGGGGCGCTCCCTTCCCTCCCTCTACCTCTTTCTTTAAAAGCGAACAGCAGCAAAAAGAACCTGGATCGGCCGAGAAATTTCCTATTTCGACTTTTTGAAGCGTACCCCCCGCAAACAACTTAGAAGGATTGTATTTCTCTCTTTCCGTCTCTCCTATCATGTTTGACCAGCTTTTTTTTCTTTTTTCTTTTTACTCACCGAAAGCGGTTTCTTCCTTAGCTTAGTACTGGGAATCAATTGAGTTGGCTTTTCCCGGTTTCGGAAGAAAGTCCCCACCACAACCACCCCGCAAAAAAATGAGGTAAAAAAAGAGAGAGGGGAGGGGAAAAAACCCCGAGGGAGGAGCGGAAATGGTTAAAAAGAAGAAGCGCGATTCCGCTAGCTGCTCCTAGGTACAATCCAGTCAGCAGAGGTCTTCCAGGGAGCCCGCGCGCTGCCACCGAGAAGAACGACGGCTGGGTCTGCGCTCGGAGCGCTCGGAAGCCTTGTGAGGTTGTAACTTATCAGCAGCCAAAGGGGAAGCATCCCCGCTTCCTGTTACATCAGGAGGAGACCCCGCCCGTGTCGAGTATTGTATTTCGTTCTGTCTCAAATAGCGCGCGCGCTCGGGCCGGGCGAGCTTCGCTCCTTTCCAAAGACAAGCCCTTCTGCCTGCCTGCCTGCCTGCCTGGCCTTTTCTCACCTTGGAGGTAGGCGTCCTGGCGCCTCTCGCACGCTTTGGAGTCCAACTCCCATTATCCCCTTGCCTTGTGGCCCTGTTAGTAGAGGGTGATGGGAATCGAAGGGCAGAGCAGCTGGTAGACACCCGGTGGCAGCGCCCTTGGGAGGAGGCCCTCTGTTTTGAAACCAGGAACTTGAATGTTTTTTATTTATTTTTATTGCTTTTAAAATAATAACAGAAAAAGAAGGAATAAAAAGGAATAAAACACAAAAGTAATTATAATGCAGATACATGCATTCTCAAAAAAAAAAAACATCGTATAAAAAGTGCTTTAAAAAAAGTGAAAAAAATACAACAGAAAAAAAGTATGAGTTACAATTCTCTATATACTTATCTAATGTAAATATTGTTCAAGTACATACATATTTATTTCTAATACTTTCGTATAACTATTGTTTATCTTTAACCTACTGTATTTTGTATAAATGAGTTCCATATTTCATTCTATTTGTCCATACACAGTCTGCATCTATAGGCAATCTGGTCATAGGTGGGAAGGGTAATCAGTTGTTCAATCCATTGAGTGAATGGGGCCATAACTTTATTTTTCCAGTGCTGCAATATTAGTCTTTGGCTATAGTAAGGGAATGGAGAATCCATTTACGTTATCCAGTTGTCAAATTCCATGTACTAGGTATGTAATTCAAGAGAATATTATCCTCTGAAAATTTTAACGTTATCCAGTTGTCAAATTCCATGTACTAGGTATGTAATTCAAGAGAATATTATCCTCTGAAAATTTTAATTTTTGTCGCACAGTCATGTTTATTTAATCCACTACTTTCTCCCGAAATTTAGTAAGTATAGGACATTGTAAAAACATGTGTTTTAGAGAAGCATTATCCTTATTACATCTCCAACAAAATGCTGTCTTAGACAGACCTTTTCTATTCAATTGTAGTGGAGTCCAATAAATTCTGAATACTCTTTTTTGTTGTATAAATCGTAGTTTAAGGTCCATTGACACTCTTGGTATAGAGGTTAAGACACTTTCCCATTGTCTAGGCCAGTGTTTCTCAACCTTGGCAACTTTAAGATGTGTGGGCTTCAACTCCCAGAATTCCCCAGCCAGCCAGAATTCTGGAAGTTGAAGTCCACACATCTCAAAGTTGCCAAGGTTCAGAAACACTGGTCTAGGCAACATAGGAACCTCTAATTCTTTATTCTACTCATTTCTTAGCATCTGTATAGAAAATTGACTTATTGATAACATATACCTATAAAAACTAATAGTAGGGTTTTTAGTTTTTTAAAGGATTAAACAAGTTGTTCTAGTATCTCAGGCATCTGTAAAGCTGAAAATACTGCTGCCCCAAACAAAATAATTAAAGAATGTTGTAGCTGTAAATATTGCCATTGGGTTACGTCTGATAGATGATATTTATCTCTTAACACAGCATATGTTAAAAATTCATCTTCATCTTCTATCAGTTAGTCCAAAGTCAATATCCCTACTTCCATCACCAGAAACTTGAATGTTGAAGCTTTCCCTTGGCAAGGAGGCAGAAGTGCCATAGGGAAGTTAGCCCTGCATGGAGGGGTAAAAAGCATGGCTTTGGACCTCAAGCCCAACCAACCCTTGATGGCTTGAATGGACAAGGTAAAGGGCTGCAGGAGTTGTTATCCAAACTATCTGAAGTTTAGATAGTGCAAACTATCCCTGTCCCTGTTCTAGAGTGTTGGAGATATCCAGATTCTGATTTGTACTCAGAGCCAAATTGTAGACTTGAAGTTTTGAAAACTATCCCAGACTGTCCTGTAGAGAAAGAAAGAGAAGTTGCAGGAACCCTGAATCTCAACTGTCTAAGCCCTGTACTGTATGTTGACATGATGTCTGTTAGGTGAAGCCCGCAATTCACAAATCCTGTTAATAAATACAAAGTAAAAACACACTTGACTGATCTAGAGGTCCTCTTATTTTTCAGCCTTAACCTGTTTCAAATGATTGTTATGAGCAAATATGAGTTGGTAGAGATGGTGGAGGCCAAAGAAATAATTTTTAGCTATTCAGGAAGGTTGGGAAGACCTCCCTGAATATTCCTCCAAATGTAACTTACCTTGATGATAAGTAAGTGAGGAAGAATAGATATAGGCAGGTTTCCTCTAACTCAGCTGCAATATTCCTCTGGTCCAACATCCAGTCTAAACACACTTGCCTCTGATCATGTGCAGACTACTTTCCCTCCCCATTACAGCTAGCTAATGCACTGGTACCTCTGGTTGTTTATGAAGGTTCCTCAAATCAGGCTTGAACTTCAACAGTTCTCCATTGGGATATTACGTACTGAGGACTTGGGAGAAAGAAGGGAAGACAGAGTAAACAAAATGACAAGGATTCACCCCACCGCCCCCATAGCAGTTGGAAGACGGGATCTGTGAGTGTTGACTTCTCATTCTGACCAGTGGGGCTGAGAGACATCAGCTCTGCCTACTCACCTGAGCAGCTTCCTTAGTTATAGCTAAAAGCCCCAGTCAGCTGAGTTCCTGAAGTAGAACATTATTATTTTTAACATTGCCCTATATCTGATGATAGGAAAGAAAGAAGGAAGGAAAGGAAGAAAAAGAATATTATAAACCTTTGACCCCAGGACTGAGTTTACATGTGATGAAATGAAATATGATAATTTTCCAAGTAAATCCCATTACCACAGTGTTTCCCAGGTAAGCAGGCATCAGATTAGGCCACCACTGTGTCAAATATACATTTCCTCCTTTGAGTCATTGTGGTATAGCAGTTAAGGTGTTCAACTAAAACCAGGGAGACCCAGGACCTAGCCTGTCCTCAATTATGGAAGATCCCTGGGAGACTTTGGGTCACACACTCTCTCTCTCAGCCCAACTCAGTTGTTGCTGTGGGAAATATGGGAGGAGAGACAGCTGTATTACTCATTGTCTTGAGTTCCTGGAATAAAGGCGGGGTATAAATTAATACACTCTGTTAGATAGCAAAAGAGAGCCATTTTGGTGTAGTGGTGAAGGCACCAAGCTAGAAACCAAGAGACTGTGAGTTCTAGTCCCACCTGAGGCCCAAAGCCAGCTGAGTGACCTTGGGTTAGTCACTCTCTCTCAACCCTAGGAAGCAGGCAACAGCAAACCACTTCCAAAATCTTGCCAAGAAAACTGCAGGGACTGGTCCAGGCTATCACCAGAAGTCAACACTGACTCAAAGGCACAAAAACAAAAAAAACAAAAAAACAAAAAACCAGGTATCTTTACAAAGCAGAAAGAGTGTGTGGAGAGAGAAGCAATATAATTAGGACTATACCTTTTTAAAGAAAGCATTCTTAAAGCTGGTACTTCCATGAAAGAAAAGAAAAATAAACTTTATTAGACAACAACAAGGTGATAAGAAACTTAATTTACTTATTATAGCTAAGAATCTGTGGTGTACTCCCTGCCCTGCAAAAAGAGAGTTAGTGAAGAAATTGAACAGTACAGATCAGAGACAGAAGAGAAAGAGAACTTTGAGAAAGGGAAGAAGTGCTGGAAGCCCTTAGAATATCAACCTAATCAATAGGAGGCATATTCCATTAAGACCCAAAAAGTAGTAAGCACAGGAAATGAATATACTATCCTGCTAATCATCCCTAATCTGTTGCTTGTAGTGGTCAATAGACTTATATGTACAGAAAGCTGGTGCATGCAAAGTTGAATTCCAACTAGTCCATACTGAACATTGGCCTATTTACAGATGGTACAGCCAGTGTCGACAACTTAGGGAATTTCTAGACCATATTGCATGTACTTATTTCTAACAGCAACTGAAAGCCCCTGGGATTGGGATTCTGATTTAGCTCTGAAGTGTCTTTGTGAAAATATGCAAAGTTCCTGTGTACAACATACAGGAATATTTGGGAATATTTGGAAGCAACGCAAATCACATTGGCAACAGTTTCTTTCAAGGCTACCTACAAGTAGCTGGAGCAATCTTTCATCTTTAGAACTGCCATACAGGTCTTAATTTTCCCTTGCTCCTCTTTCTTTCTGATCCATGTCCTCTAGCAGATGCTGTTGGAGGAGAGTCATGTTAGTCTAAGGTAGCCAAAAATCAGAAGGAATCTGATAGCACCTTTTATTGAACATTAAAAAAACAACAACAGCTTTTTAAGCTACAGTCATGTTAGTCTGAAAAGGTGCTACCAGACTCCTTTTGATTTTGTCCTTTAGTCTAAGGGATATCTCCAAAGTCAGCAAGCTCCAAGATTAGTCTAAGGAATATGAACAAAGTCTTTGCAAATAAAACGTCTGTCAAAAACAATGACTGGAAAGTTCCACCTTTACCAGAAATAAGCCTACTGGCCCTCTGGGTATTGCTGAGTTACAACACCCATTACTTGTGCTGGCTGAGATCTATCATTCATCAACATGTCATGGACCACAGATTGCCTACAATGATTCTGATGATTTTTTTAGTGAAATAAACTGGCTGAAAAATGAGCTATATAGGATGGGATTTCTTGAAGATGCAATCTCAGAGCATATGAAGGGCAGAGGCTGAGGAAACCCAGATTTTTTTTTCTTAGACAATTAATTGATGTATAGTTTTGTGTTTTATAAAATTAATGAGTCAATTGGAGAGAGGGAAAATGTGAATATGTGTCAATAAGAGCTGAATTTGTTCTCCAACTTCCTGTCCCATGATTCAATGTCTTTCATGCAATACTTGTTAAGAAGGGCCAGGCCTGAAATTGATCTGAATTTGATTTGGATCTTTGGCAATCCAGATGCCCAGTCACAAAACTTAGTACAGGTAATCCTCACTTAACCATTTGTTTAGTGACTGTTCAAAGTTACAATGGTGCTAAAAAAGTTATGACCAGT